TCAATTATTTAGTTATGATGAATGTACATCTGACATGTCATTTTTCACTATGTATTTGATTTATTTAATCATTTGAACAATATTATTATGAATTATGTTGTCAATTATTTAGTTATGATATATGTACATTTGACAAATTTATTCTACTTGATTAAACAGTAAATTAAATTCATTGAAAAGCTTTTTCAATAAGTTGCATATCTAGTACGGTATGTTAGATGGAGCATTAACGTGACAATAATATGCTCCCAAGACTCTTGAATAATCCAATAAATCTGAAACTACTTTTTTTTTTAACATCTACAATTTCTACACACGTAAAAATGAAACAAATACAAAATTCGTACATCGCGTGGGTCAACGACTAGTATAATAAAAAATTACATTACCATTTACTGATTTATGATTTACGATTGATTTTCTGCAGCACAAAAGAACCGAATCAGATTAGATTGAATGGTTCTAATATAGCCCGAGTCCTTTATGCCAATGGAATCAATTATTTTATTTTCACAATTTCAATAAAAAATAAACTTTTTATGCTCACCTTAATGTTAGTTTCGCCTACTTTGAGATAGTATTTTGAAAAACGTGAAGCGTGACTAGACGTAGAAGCCATGTTTCAAGCTTTATGAGTTAGGCGTAAAAACGAAAAAAAAACGTTTTCTTATTTTTAATATTATTACATTTTTTAATAAAATTAAAAATCATTTAATAATTAAAATAATATATATCAAATATATAAAATTATAAAATACTATAGTTACTTAATAAATTATATAATTAGTCAATTATACAACTTTCAAATTTTTTGAAATGCAAAAATTAGACTATTTTCATGATTTCAACTTTCAACTAGATGAGTCATGCTTGAAAATATCTAACATGTTTTCATTTTTTTATTTTTGTACAAATAAAATTATTTGAAAACTTGAAACTAAAATCAAATAAAAATCTTTTAGAAAAAAGGAAAAAAATAGCGCTACAAGGCGCTTATTGTCAAGGCGTGGCGTGGCATTTCGTCCAGGCCTTGCACTTAGGATAATTTTTTAGAACACTGCTTTGAAGGCAATTTTGAAAGAGTAATACTATTTAGCACAATCAAGAACACTAGTTTAGATGATACTAAATGATATTAAAGGAGATGCACAATTTAAGAACATCATAAATATGACTTATATATCTTTATTCAAGAAGTCCATTCATTAATAGACACTTAAACGAGTGCTAAGCACCAATGGTATTGAGGATTTTTCACAATTAATGAGTCACATAATTCTACATTTAATTGAGCATACCACATAGCGTCATTTAGATTGATGTTGTAGCACTGTTATGTTAGATAGCATTATTTATATTTAAAATATGTCCAAATTGAAAAATAATGGTTTTTCATTAAAATATTTAGCTATTTTTTGATTCAACTAAAAATATAAATTAAAATTTTTGTCAAATTGAACAATTAATTTTAATTATACATTTTATATGACTCACAACTTTCAAACCACACATTCTATCAACTTTTATCTAACATTTATATAAAAAAATATTTTTTATTTAAATCAAACAAAAACTTAATTTTAATCTTATTAAAAACAAACTTTTCTACTAACTGACTCATTAGACCTTGTGCGTGGTGAGATTTGATGAGTTGGACCTCTACTTAATCATATTGCCCAATTTGTAGATAGTGATGACAACGGGTCGGGACTGAGATGGTCATTATCATTCCCGCCTTGTTGATAATTTTTAGGAGTTGGAATGGTGATTAAAAAATTCACATTTATCGCACTATTTGGTTATTTATTTACGTTTAAGATTATTTTTTTAATCTTTTAAATGTGATTTAAATTGAAAATGAATAAAATATAAAGATTTCGTGTGGTGCAAATGCAAGTGTGATTTTTATATTATTTGTATCTTGCTAATTTATTAATGGGCAAGCTTCTGCGTAGATTATTTTCTATCAGTTATTTCTGTTTCTTGACAGTTATTAATACAAAACCCAATATTGACCCTCGCGTTTGTATTTCTGCTTTTAAAAGCCCGTCTGTAGTGTGACAATTTACAAAAAGTATTTTAAAATGAATGCTATTTATATATTTCTTGNAATGCTTAAGACAAATAATTTTTTTAAAAAAAATATATTTACGCAATCATATAGCCAACTGTACTATGGTACATGCATTGCACGTGCGTCTTACTAGTATTAATACAAAATCCAATATGGACCCTCGCGTTTATATTTCTGCTTTTAAAAGCACGTCTGTAGTGCGACAATTGACAAAAGTATTTTAAAATGAATGCTATTTATATATTTCTTGACATTTTAATGTGAATTCTTTGTTAAAACTTCAAAATTATATATCTTTTTTAAGTAATGTGTTCTGCTAATAATTTTCTATGTTACCAGCCGAGTACAATAAATGTATAGCAAGTGGAATCATTGTCCAAGGTTTGGACATAGTAAATTCGTCCCTTTTAAGGAGAATTGTATTTACCTTTGCTAGTGTTGTCGGGGTCCTTATTTGACACTTCGAGTGTTTTCAGTATTCATTATAGTGTAATGAGATTCGATGCAACTCGTGTAAGTTCCAAGGACGAATTATATATAATTACAATTGACTAAGTACGTATTGTTAGTTGAAATATAATGGCGCAAGAATCTCAAGCAAGTGACACAATGAAGGAGTCGCACAATTCACATAGAACAACGTTAATGTCAAAAACGCGTGACGTTCCATATATATAGAATTCAACAATGTGGTTGATTATAAAATTAACCTAAATGAATGAAATTACAATTGATCCTTGTAGTGAGCACCCTATTGTTTAAAAGAATTTGATGATGCAAAAGGGGTTGTTCGTCAAGCTTGGTTGGTAACATTATCTCTTATTCTCCCGCTTCAATTTCAATGGACTAATCCCGAATACAAAATCTAATCGTCATTACTGATGTCTGTTTCTTTGGAGCAAGGCAAGTTTGGAATTGAGCATCTCCAAGAGATAGGTTAATTTCACTCATGGTCAATGAATTTTATACTTCACTTTTACCATTGAACTTCACAAAATAGTCATTCAGGTAACCAACTTAGTTTTGTGGGCGATATGGCATGGTGAAATGGTTGTTGATTGAATGACAACGTAATATTTTTATGTTTAATTCGTAAGAGCGTAATTAAACTCTATGAAATTGAAGCAAAAAAAGAAAAACGAAAATGGAGAAAATAGAGAAAAATGAAATTCGAGGCAAGTGATTAACATTTTTTCCTTAAAACAAAAATGCTCCAAAACTGTGCTAATAGATTATGACACTTGTCTCCTAAGATAAACTTATATAACCTGTAGTAGAAGCACTTCAAACTACAAGCAACGTCGTCAAGCTTGGTTGGTAACATTATCTCTTATTCTCCCGATTCAATTTCAATGGAGTAATCCGGAATACAAAATCTAATCGTCATTACTGATGTCTGTTTCTTTGGAGCAAGGCAAGTTTGAAATTGAGCATCTCCAAAAGATAGGTTAATTTCACTCATGGTCAATGAATTTTATGCATCCCTTTTACCATTAAAATTCACAAAATAGTCATTCAGGCAGCCAAATTAGTTTTGTTGGTGACATGACATGGTGAAATGGTTGTTGATTGAATGACAATGTAATATTATAAGTTTAATTAAACTCTATGAAATTGAAGTAAAAAAGAAAATGAAGAAAAATGAAATTCGAGGCAAGTGATTAACACTTTTTTCTTAAGACAAAAATACTCCACAACGGTGCTAATGGATTATGGTACTTGTCTCCCAAAATAAAATGGATATAACTCACGGTAGAAGCAATTCAAACCACAAGCAATAGCGAACTCGAATGAAATTCTTCCCTCTACAAGACGATGATTTTTGGAATGATTTATTGAAAGTTTTTGCAAGAGTTTTTGATATAATGCTCAATGCAAATGATATGATATGCATAATGGAAGTTCAAAGGGTCCTATTTATAAAAAATGAGGGGTTGTGAGTGAAATGTCACACCCCAAATTCAGCAACTTTCACGAAGGGAAGCATCCCTTGTTGTTGCTAGCCTCCCGCTCGAGTGACGGTGACATTTGTTCATCAGAAACTCCATCGCCTGCCCGTTACTCGAGCGACGGTCTCATCGACATCTTAATCAACTTTATAAGGGAAAAATAGTAATTTAATACT